GGGGGGGGGGACCTCACTTCGGAAAAATTATCGCTCTCGCCAAGTGGAATATCACGAAACATACTGACACTATATATGCCCCCGCCTCCCCCCTTCATACCATGCTCGTGCACAGCGTAAATATTCCTACGTACTAGACTTGGACGCCATTGGCCAACGAGGAAATCATACCGCAACCACGGTCCTCCGCGCCGGGCGTTCATCTTCGACTTTCCCGGATTAGTTCGATCTTTTTACTCAGCACCATTTTGTCCCGCCCAATTTCTATTCCTGCCTTCGGGTTACCCCCCTTTGTTCAACGCGCTATTGGGTTTTCGACCCTTCGTGCCTCCCGTCCGATACGCGTTTCAACTCAAGGCCGCCAACTTCGTATGCCGGCATCCTCCTCCCTCCCCTCGCCTCCGACATCTTCCTCCTTCCCTTCTCCGTCCCCCCTACATCACACGCCCGATCCTTACGATGGCATAATCATTGATCCTCAGCAACTACCGAAGGACCCATGTATTTTTGCACAGCATTTGACGGAATCATTGGCGGGTGCGTATGGCGTCACGGGAAGGGGAACTAGGAAGGAGTAAGGTCGGGAGGGAAGGTCTGAGATGCATTCGTCGAACGCGGCCCCATGTGGAGAGAGAGCTAGACTCCTACGCACGTGCAGCTTGCGGAAAGCTACGACTTTGCTCCCTGGTTCGGACTCGAGCAGGTCCTCCATATCGTCGTCTCATTTTTGCGCTCGCCTGTAGCTCTGTCTCTCCCTTCTCCGCCCTGGTCGCCACTTTGCCTTCCCTCTCACCATCCCTCCCACCTTCATTGAAATCTTGCGTACATTCCATCCCTCTTTGTACAGCTACTGTCTCACTCCTCTCCCTCTTCCCCTCTCCCACCCTATCAGCCTGGCGTCTCCAGCATCGACGCGGCATCTGGCTGAAGCTGCCCCTGACCCTTGCTTCCCACGTGCCCGTGGCGGCAAGCTCGGGGTTCGTCTTCCATCACGCCGAGCAGGACTACGTGATGATGACCCACTGGCTGGAGGAGGGGAAGCCCTGCACCTTGCCGCCCGGGCCCACACACCAGGTCGGGAGGGAGGGCGGGGCAGAGGGAGGGATCTAAAATTGTGGGACTTGTGCTTGAGTGGGGTGCATGCTCGAAAAATGACTCGATGCGACCCTTTAGTCGTCCTGATCCTATTGTCCCTCCCTTTTCCCCGTCCCTACCGCTATCCCTTCCTCTCTTTTTCCAGGTGGGGGTGGGTGCCCTCGTACTGGACAAGGGCGGGAAAAACATCCTGGCCGTGCAGGAGAAAAGCGGGCCTTTGAGGGGCACAGGCGTCTGGAAGGTAGAGAGGGAGGGAGGGAGGGAGGGAGGGAGCGGGGGAGGGAAAGAGGCACGAATAGCTCAGGCGTAGTATCCCATCCACCAAGCTGCGTGAGCGCGTCCAGGTCCCGGCTCGTACCCTCACGTCGGCGTGTCCACCTCTCTTTCTCCACGTCCGAACGTTTCCCTTGCTTCTCTCTCCCCCCCATCGCCCCTTTTCCTCGTTTCTCTCCCCTCAGATGCCCACCGGACTCCTGGACGTCGGGGAAGATATTGGCGCGGGCGCCGAGCGAGAGGTGCGCCTTCTCTCACTCTCTTTCTCCCACTCTGTCCCTCCCTCCTCCAATTCCTCCTTTCTCCCCACCTTCGACCCCCCCCCTTCTCTCCTGAAAGCCAGCTTTTCTGTGCTTTAAATATCAAGCCCTCTGGGGTGCTTTTATGCTCCCCCTTCCTCCCTTCCTCCCTCCCCGCCGTCCTTCCTCCCCTCCCCTCTCCCCTCTCCTCACCTTCCTGCCTCCCTCTCAGGTAAAGGAGGAGACCGGGGTGTCGGCGCGCTTCAAGCATCTGATCGCCTTCCGCCATGCCCACGCCTTCGCCTTCGGGAAGAGCGACCTCTTCTTCCTGGCGCGCCTGGAGGTGGAAGACGACAGCAGGTGAGTGGGAAGGAAAAAAAGAAGCGAGGGGCTTTGCTGCGATCTCTGTGTCTGAACCGTGTGTGCGAGTAGTTGTAGAGGCTTCTTCGGACTCAGTAGCGCGAGGATTTCTCCCCGTGCACTCTCCCCGGACCTTCCTCGCGCAGTCTCCTCTGTCGGTGTGGCAGGGAGGTAGGTCTGGATTATTATTTTTGTTCGTGAAAGCGTCGAGGCAGCTCTCTGTCATTCTTTGCGTCTCGTGAAAGGTGACGACTTCTGCCCGCGCGTTCCATTCACGCGTGCCCCCCCTCCCCAGTCTGCAGCCCTGCCCCCACGAGATCGCCGCCTGCGACTGGGTGCCCCTCTCCCTCTTCCTCTCTCAGCCCCGTTTCCTCGCTTCCCCCCTCTATGCCTGCGTCTACGACCTGTGCCGTGACGCTTTACCGGAGAACGAGGGGAAGGCAAGGCCTGTGACGGCCATCATGGGCACGCAATTGGAGCTAGGCTTCAAGCCTGGGGCGGCCTGGCTATACCATACTTCAGAGTGGCACCATGAGAAGCACGGTGGAAAGGGCGAGGGGGAGGACGGCTTGGAGGAAGGGAAAGGGGCAAAGAAAGGGGCTGGGAACCACGAGCGGGGGTGACTAGATGAGGAGGGCTTTACAAGCCTGAGGGAGGATAAAACGCTACTGGAACGAAAGTAACGCGATTTCATGTAAGGGAGGGCTAAGTAGCGAGAGAATCATTTACTTTCGACGTATTTCGTTCATGTTATCGATCATAAACTCCTTTCCCTCTTGTCTACATTGTCGATTTTACGCACACTCGGGAAGTACACCTTATGCAAGTTTAAAGCAAGGATGAGACAGCTCAGAATAGAGCTTGAATCATGGAAAGGCACGATACTTCAATCCTAAATGAGTGCTAATCCTGTGTTCGCTTCGTACAAGAATGTAGCGGGGGTAATCGATTGGACGATCATTCGAAAGTCCGGATGATGGAATGAAGAATAGAGGTCGATTATGAAAAAGGTGTAGACTTTGACTCATTTTGGAGTAGAGCTTCAGTTTTGTTTCCTCAGAGAAGATACTCTGGGGCCTCGAGTATTAGATTATCGGAGACATTCCGTGTGATGGTATTTGCCCTTGACTCGTCTTTCAGTGTGATGGTATTTGTCCTTGACTCGTCTTTCAGTGTGATGGTATTTGCCCTTGAGTCGTCTTTGCGAGGATCATATAGTAATCGATAGCGATAGAGGGGAAGATTGGCTTTGCGTGTTGGATTCGTGAGATCTACGGTACGATCATGAAAACGTCAGTGTTAAACCCAGCAGCCGTGAGTGTGGTGTTACCCACAATCATGGTTCCTTCGAAATCACCGGTAGTGTAGAAGCTGCCGGATGCATCCGCAGTAATACTTTTTCCTGAGGAAAAACCGCCCGTGCTTCCGAAGTTTTCAGCCCACACAGGGCTGCCGCCAGAGTCGACTTTGATAATGACAATGTCAGACCCCCCAATAGGCGTGAGGGTGGTGTTACCCACGATCAAGGTTCCCGAGATGTCACCAGTTGAATAGGAGTTGCCCGATGCATCCACGGCAATACCATTTGCGTAGCTTGATTTGCTACCTCCGAAACTCTGAGCCCATACAGGATTGCCGCTAGGGTCCAATTTGATGAGGCAAATATCATTGTTAGCAACAGCCACGAGTGTGGTGTTACCCACAGTCATGCTTACTTGGAAATCACCATTAGTGTAGGAGTTTCCCAATGAATCCACAGCAATACCCCGTGCATAGTCCTCTCCGGTGCCTCCGAAGCTCTCAGCCCATACAGAGCTGCCCATGGAGTCGAATTTAATGATGAAAATATCACCGCCTCCAGCAGCCGTGAGGGTGGTCATACCCACCGTCATGCTTCCTTCAAAATGGCCTGCAACGTAGGAATTATTCGATGCATCCAGAGCAATACTCCTCGCATAGCATTCGCTTCCAGTGCCCCCGAAACTGTAAGCCCATGCAGGGTTACCGCTCGAGTCGACTTTCATGATGAAAATGTCATTGGTGCCAAGAGCGGTGAGTGTTGTAGTGCCCACAGTCATGTTTCCTTGGAAGAAGCCCACAGTGTAGGAGTTGCCGGCTGCATCCAAAGTAATGCCCTCTCCGGAGTCCCCACCAGTGTCTCCGAAGCTTTTAGCCCATACAGGACTACCACTGGAGTCTACTTTAATGATGAAAATGTCAGAGTTACCACCAGCCGTGAGAGTGGTGCTACCCACAGTCATGTTTCCTGTGAAAGAACCTGTAGTGTAGGAGCTGCCCGAAGCATCCACTGCGATATCCGTGCCTTCATCAGAATCGCTGGATCCGAAGCTCATAGCCCACAGGGGGCTGCTTGTGGAGTTCAGTTTAATCAAGAAAATGTCAGAGTCTCCTTCAGCCGTGAGGTTGGTGCTACCAACGGTCATAGTTCCTCGGAAAGAACCGGTAAGGTAGACGCTGTTCGATACATCCACAGCAATACCTAATCCGACATCGATATCGTCGCCTCCGAAGCTCACAGGTATAGCCATGCCCTCAGGCGTCGGTGAAGGTGCTTTGGTAGGGGTAGTAGTGGGTGTTTCAGTAGGCGATGCTGTAGGTGCGAGTGTCGGGGCAGCCGTTGGCGTCGCTGTAGGAGCTGCGGTAGGGGTAACAGTGGGTGCTGCAGTAGGCATAGAAGTAGGGGTGAGCGTTTGGGGCAAGAGCACCTCATACACGTTGTAATCAGGATCGAAGATGAAGGGCGTGCATATTGCGCCGCAGCAAAAGCACTGGCTGGTCACGGTATTCCAGTTAAAGAAGAAAGGCGTTTCGTTCCCCCCGTTCAGCGTACAATATTCATAGCAAGCCTCCGGGTTATCGATCGATTGGAGATCGCGGTCCTGATGTGGACTCAGTGTCGAAAAGGCTCCATCGCTATTGATTCCGGAGGGCAACGACAGGCGTCGGTCCTGAAAGGGGGCCAGTCGTCCCGCTTCGGAACATCGCTGTCCTTCACGAAACAGCACAAAAGGCGTCGTTGGATTGATGGAGGGAGCCGGAGTCGGTGCGCAAGTCGTGCCTTTCTTAGCTTTCAAGTATCGCGCTTTTAAGATGGCTGAGCTGGCCAGCTGCTTGATGCATGAGGCCGCTGTAGCATTGACTATGTAAGCGAAAGCATCCACTGCCATCATCTCAGGAGCGCATTGATTAGCCTTTACCTTCACACGAAAGCGGCGTTTGCCCCCCTTACTTTTGGTGAATGCGATACCGAGCCAATAAACGCTAGTCGTTTCGTCCGCATTTTTAACAATTTGCGGCGGCGAATAGGGCTTTGGGGATGGACGCATCACCGCTCGCTCTACCGATAAGCCATTTGGCAGGTTTAATTGAAATTCCAGGTTGGCGACGGCATCTTTACTTTTCAGTATAACGTTGATTGTACCTTGGCCCTTTCCTGCCAGGATCCCACGTTTAGCATTCGGCCTGACTTTGGCCTTGAGAGAAAGCCGCGGACATTCTTGCGAGACCGTAGTGTAAATACTTGTAAAGCCCAGAAGGGCGATAAGTAACGCACCAAAAAGTTTAGTCATATTTTAAACCGTAACTTGGTATGTAGACCAGTGGATTGAACGCGAAATTTGACGGATCGACCTGTGAATGCGAGAATCGTTTCAGAGTGTACATAAATTATGGGTGATACAGTTAGTGTACAATTAGAAATTTTCTAGGTCTGATATTCGACTTAATACAACAAGATGTCTACGTTGCCAGACTACGTTTTCATCCATGGAATTCAGTCAGAAAGTCATCGGCAGCGCGTCACGCCACCAAAATGGGCTACCACTCATAACCTCATGGGCAGATCTCCATAGACGATGTGACAAGCAAATACCAAACTGCTTCGTCCGCAGCCCGTAAGAAGTTTGCTCCAAGAGAATTTTTTGTCTTTTGAAAAAAGGGGTGTCTGGCACATGGTGGTCCCTAGAAGGACTGCCCATGCACTAAGTGCACACACGGCGTACTTTTTGGAAGGTGAGACATTGGGCACATGAAGATCGAGGGAGTCCACTGCCAGAGATATACTTCTACAAGAAGTACAAGCATATCCCAGCAGAAATGTGAAGTGCAAGAGTAAGACTGCCTAATGCGCTGGAATTCCATTAAGACGACTCAAAAATCTCCGATCCTCGGAGGCGAGGTGTATATATTTCCGTGTCGATATTGAATGCAAACGAACAAAATGTACGCTTCATCGCGTGCTACTTTTGTAAAGTGACAGCTTGAGCACATTTCGATGGAGGTAAACGATTCTTTCTCAATCAATTACACTGCCACTTACGCACGAACGTAGCTTCTACTGTACTTCAACCATCACAGAAGTAACGACCATCATGACTCATGTCGTGTTAGTTAACGGTCCGTTCGTGATGAAGTTTCAAACCTTCAACATTTACGTCGACAACCGTATCACCATGCGCAAGTCGGGCGTCTCGGTAAGCGGCCGGGACTTGCTGTCCATCGGCCTGTACAATGCATTACACTTCGAATGGAAGAAGCAGATAAAAGTCAAAGGATGGCATGCATGACGAAGGCGTCTGAGGTATCCAGTATTCCTTACGAGGGGCGCAAAGATGTCTTCGCCTTCTGGCATCATTTACGGACGAAACAGCCCTTAAAAAAAAAAGGGCGCAATAGACGACAATTCCTTAATAAAAAAATAATCAACCTCATTCTGTTGAGACAAATGAGGAGCCTACAACACGGTACTCGCGTAGACATGATCAAGATCCAAAGAACTGACAACCAGCACTCCTCCCCGCCTCTTCCTGGCCTCCTGGTAGAGGCTGCCTCTTAGGTCCAGACTGTTCCAAGAGACGCGCAGATAGGAAGAAGGAAAGAAGCGCACGAGGGCAACTGGGAAGAAAGATGTCTCCATCATCACCCCAACCCTAGCCCTAACCCTAACCCTAATCCTTCATCCTAACCCTAATTCTAACCCTAACCCTGACCCTAACCCTAACGAAATAGTTTCTGTTTAATGCCCAATTTTCAATTGCTTAGATCCGTGTCAGCAAACGCCACAACAATCGAGCCTGGGGCCCCAACAGCCATGAAAGACAGAAATATTGGATTTTTACATGTTTATTGAGGCAACGAGTAGCGGTAAAGCTATCAAAGGTTACCCTAACCCAGCGCGTGATAGGCGGATCTTGCTGTGTAAATGATAGAAGGCGATAAAAACAATTTTTCGCCGTGAAAAAATCCCTACTTCTACTGTTCATCATAAGTTTTATTCTTTGGTCTCAAGCAAGACTCGTCGACGCTTTCTTAACAAACAATAAATGCTTTGAAATATCCAACACGCGCTTACTATCAACTCCGAGCCCCTTCTGCACCTACGTGCTTTCTTCAATTCCTATCCTGCCCGCTCTCAGATCCATCCTTTCTTCTCGCCCGAACTTGTGCTCGTCTCGAAATCAACTGCAACTTCTCTGCTAACGGCGTATCAGTAATCCATACTTGGAAGAGCGCCCTCATATCCTCGAGGGAGACGCCCTCTGTTTCAGGGAGTAGAAGCAACACGAATGTGGCCATGAAGAAGCAGCAGAAGGCGAAGAAGAGAAAAGTGCCCCATAGATTGAGGCTATCCCGC